GGCCGGGCGTGCCCCCGCCAGGCTGCAGCAAGCCCTTCCTCCCGGGAGGGGGGCTGGCAGGGCGGCGCTTCGCTCTCCTTGAGGGGCACCTGCCTTCTCTTCCAGTACTTCACGCAAGGGGCTCTGCCCCGTGCCTCGAATTCGCTTGCAGGCCCTCCTGCAAACCCGTGCTGTCGTCACGCGGCGCGGCAGCGACTTAACCCTCGCCGATGCGTCTGGACTCCTCCTTTCCTTTTGGTGTTTCTAACTCGATACCGCGAAACACAGGGAACTCAGAGAAGTGGGACAAAAGGACCAGCGTGCTTCCAGAAGAGCAGCTCAGACGGGGCTTGCTCTGTCCTGGACGGCAGCATCCACAAAAGCCACCCGAACCGTTTACAAGACCGAGGGGAACGGCACTCAAGCTCCGCACAACTTCCGCTGCGGGAACAGCGCCGGACAAGCCAGCTCCCCACCTGCTGTAACTCGCGTAGCTGTAACGCGCGCGTCCCCGTTCCTAAAGCGACGTTTCGCTTTTCCTTCAGAAGGAACAAAGACAGTTATTTTGTTGCTGTAATATAGGTAATATGCGGGGTCCTATTACTTAATATTACACTACCTGCTAGCTTCCAATAGGCTACAAGGAATTTGAGAAGTTGGGGCCGCAGCCCGACGCCTGCAAGGCGCGTGGGCGCTGCAGCCCGCCTTCGACAACGCCAAGCTACAAACGAAGGGAAAGCAGCAGCTACGCTGCGTATGGGAGGGCTGCTGAAGACGACACGTTTTCGATGCAGGAGATGACAGAGGGCTTTCCCGTTACCTTACAGAAAGAGAGGCCATTTTACAGTCACTGAGAAAGGAAAATAACAAACTCGTGTTGTCCCCCTTCTGAGCAGCAGCAGGCCAGGAAGCGCCGCGAGCCTGCAGGCAGCCTGACCTGCCCGGTCTGTGGTGTATCGTGTGCTCTAAAAGCATCCTCTCCTTTAAGTGCTCTCTCCGATACCGTGTTTCAGCAAACCATGCTCATCCCTTTGGGCCAGATTTCCTTCCTCCCCCCGGGCCCCTGTGGCTGCGGTGCTGCCTGTTCACAGCACACTGCGGTTTGCAGGTGAAAGGAACAGATGTTTTCCGGGGAACACTCCCCGCACACAACAAGGCCCAAACCACCAAGCACTCTGTACCTGAAATAGCTGCACTCGCAAGAAGGCAATCTAACCTGACACTGAAAGGGAACAGGGTTGTTTGCCTGGTTTCACTGGATTTTAAAAGCTTTTTTGGCCCTTGTTGATCTTTAAATGCCTGCAGTCAGAGGTGTGCTTTGTGCTAATGCCCGAGTTTAAAAAGGAGGCCTCAGAGTAGCTCGAGGCAACGCCGCTGGATTAGGGGTACATTGCAAGGCGTTCCAGCTATCTGCTACTAAAATACACTTCATTGCAATCATACACAATTTATACTCTAAATGCCACCAAACCTACCCGCACAGACACAGCTTCTTGCTCTGGGAGGGAACCTTTAGCTATATGCAGAACATACCCGCCTATATACCTACCTATATATATTTGGTGATGTGCTTTCATCACGTTTAACTCGGAGCCTATTTCTAAGTAGAGAAAAGAGGAAAACGGCCACAGGTGAGGCCTGGGCGAAGGCAGGCTGCGCGCGCGCGGCGCGGCAGCCTGGGAGACTCTCATCTCCTTGGGCTCTCGTTACCACCTGCCCCAGACGCCAGGATCCTTTGCACTGGGGGAAAAAAAAGCAACCTGGGAAAGTTATTTGCCTGTTTTCCGCACCTTAAAGTAAGGCTCAAATCAAACCTTCTCCAGGACTGCACACCTTTCCTGTCCTGGCCAGCTGGGTATCAGCCAACGGAGCGGACTAGCGACCTCTTTTCAAACCAGTAAGTTGTTTTCAAACCAAGTATTCAAGAGATATCAGCTAGTCATTGTATCGGCAGAGGCCAATGCCAAACACCTGAAAGGGGAGTCCCAAAATGCTCACGCTCGGACACCTGCAAGGAAACTCCCGACCGCCCTGGCCGTGGGTGACCGCTCGCTCGCACCCAAGGCTCAGAGCCGGCTGCTTTCGTCTCGTTACGTGACAGCCTTCCTAACGTCACTGTTTTGCCTTGCTCAGATTTTGACACACGCACGCATATACACACACACACACCCCTCTGTGTGTGCGCGTGTGTGTATCTATAAAATATAAAAAAAAAAATCTCTATTTTTGCCCTGAGTAGTTTCTTATGAATAGAAAGCAATGAAGAGTAACGGAAAAACCGCAGCAGGATAAATATTTCAACTACAGATTCAGTGTCTCAATGATTACATTGAAACAAACTGACAATTAACAAACTCATCTTTGTCATATGGGAGTCTCAGCTGCTTTGGACATAAAAGGCTATAAACAATTCCAGATATCTCTGATTATATTCTTAACACCTGAAAGCAAGGAGGATAAAGAAAATGCCACAAATACACAACGGAAAGCAACTATTTCTGCATATAAAACGTATACACGAATGCAAAGCGCAGCACTGCACATCACAGCGGAGCTCTGCTTTGCAGCTGGCGGTGATTTGCCGCGAGACGAAGTCCCCGCTGCTCAGTACGCGCAGCCAACTGGGACCAAGACTACACATCCATTTGTGGCTGATGGCGTGGAGGACGCTGATAGGAGCAAGCAGGGGAGACCAGCTTTTGCAAGAGGGGCAGACTGCTTATATTATTTAACTTGTACATAGTGTTTTCTGCCTTCAGTGTGTTTTAGCTTCAGCTAGGGAAAGGCAATTGTCTTAAGGAATACTTCATCCTTCATATTTTCCCTGTGGTTTTTTTTTAAACAGATTTTTTTCATACTTCCGACAAGTTGGACTTTCTGGGATTCAGAAGACTTTTTTTCCCCCTTCTTTCCTTTAAATTCATCCAGCTCCTCAAATACACAGCAATGTTACCCGTACTTCCTTTTCCACAAAGAGGAACTTTTCTTTTAAAAGTCCTTAGCCATACAGGGGCACAAATAATATTTACAGTAAAACAAGCTACTGGCAGTAAGCAGAAAGAAAAATCCTTTCCCTTTCATCTCCCCTGGGAACAACCACCTTAGGAAAACGTCTATGGAGGAGGAGCTCTAGCAGGTCAGGGCCAGGACAGCAGACCAACTCCGACAGGATCAGGGCTCTTCATGGCCAGAGGGGATGTCGGGCTGGGGAGTTTGGTCAGAGGCCTAGCTGGCTCGCCTGAAAAACAGCCAGCCTTCCCCGACGCTGCAGCCCACCCCTCCTGCCAGGCCACAAACGCAATAAACTCACATTCAAGATGGGGAGATAAGGCCGCCGCTTAGCCCACTATCCAAATCACGGTTATTGAAACAATGTGGGGCTCTTGGTCAGGATCTGTCTGACAGCTACTATATTCTGTTTGATAAAGGTTTTTAAATTACCTGCCTGTTCTTTTCCTGCAAGATTCAGAATATAAGCTGAAACAGTTCAGGGAATAATAAACTATTTGGAGTATGATCCCATACAATCTCATCTGACCCAAGAGACAACACTATAATCTCTCTTTCCTGGCCCTATAAAAACAGAATAAATGAGGTGAAACACATGAATGATATTCCCCCCAAGGCAGACCTCTCTCTCCGTCCATAACCCCTCAACGGTGACCTTTAATTGTTTCACCAAAGACTTCAGTGAACGATTCTGCAAAACCTCTCCGTACAATAAATACCATTCGCACATCTTCATGATTAAAGGCCTTAAAAAAG